TTCCAAACTAACGGCAATTAATGCATCTGTGAAACAGCGTTTACTGTCAATTAACAAATGTTGGTATTGCACTAAAGTAAGTTCATATAAACTCACTGGCAAGTGTCCCATTCTTTCTGATTGGGCAGTCACTCCATGGGAGAGGATACTGGAAGGACTGGAAGAAGTAGAAAATGCTCCAACCGATGATCACATTATAGTAGAGACCCACAAAGCCGCACACCTACAGACAGATAGATGGCGTTATGCGACAGAAACAGCCAGATAACATTTAATGAGGTACAAATATGTGATGTCAGGTTTGATATAGACATCACATGTGCAGAGGATCATCTGTGCAGAGTGAGAAAAGCATGCAAATGAGGCAGGTGCTTTGTGCATGTCCCAATGCTGCTGTCAGTCTTTGGAGCAGCCTTGCCAGCAAGGACATTCAGAAGCTAAATAAGGTTGAGGGAAGCATGAATAATTGAAGTGCTCTCTTTTCAACAGTGATCTTCTGTGAGATATTTATAGCTACTTCTGCAGCTCTGAAGTAAGACTACCTTCCACTCTCAGACACGTCAATACCTTCATAAACCTGCATCAAGATATAACTTTAACTAGATAGATAAATAGATAGAACCTCTTTGATCTTATCACCATGCTTCACTTATCAAACTGCTTCCTATGGAGCCGCTAAAGACTTTAAGAGCACTGCTAAAGAAAGAGTGTACATTTGGCTCACAGTTAAAAAGATGATGGCTCTGTCTCACACTCCTTACAGGAACAGAAGCATCTCAGCTTACCATCAGACTTGACATTCCTATTCCACCCAGGCGGGGACAGACGTAGTTCCACACCCCGATACTTCCACGCCTGATCTTCTGACCCACTGCCAGCTCCAAGAAGAAGAGAGGGATGCCAATAATGAGGAGGAGGATGAAGTAAGGAACCAGATAGGCGCCTGAAAAAACAAACAAAAAAAGATTTGGTGTTTCTAGGAAAAACGTGTTGCTGTTTGCTTGGCTAACTTACACAGGAAATCACAAGTCCTTGTCCCCCTGGATAGGGAGTTTTTTTCATGCTGTAAAATGCTAATGCTAAGCTAATGGGTAGCACTGGGTGTCCTCTAGCTGCTACAGTAAAGTAGGACAGTTGTATCAAACTGTGGGAAAATAACCTTTTTACTTCTCGCGTGATCCCACTAAACACCCTCAGTCCCTCCTCTCAGGTTTTATGCGATACAAAACGAAGTTCATGATGAAAACATTAGCATAAAGTGCACAGTAAAGAGGGCTATGCTATGATGGGCCTCCATTAGTACTATACCGTTGCGCCGCTGGTGTAGTGGTATCATGCAAGATTCCCATTCTTGCGACCCGGGTTCGATTCCCGGGCGGCGCACGAGTTTTTTTCCCTCCAACAATTTCGTTGTGCAGTGACGATAAAGGGCGACTCTATTCTATTCTATTCTATTCTATTGTCTGTTACATCTGGTTTAACTACAGTGAAAATGGTCAACCGATGCCTTCAATAACCATTGGCTGACACCACTAAAAACTACAATTAACTTAATAAAAAACGTAATGAACTGGATTGAAAGCAAAAAAATGTTTGCTGACTACTTGCCAGATCACTGACTTAAGAACTCCCTACAAAGGTGACTTGTGCAGCTTCAGCTTGTTAAACTGCAGCTATGCATTGCTGTCTGTTATGGAGGGTGTCTCTGACAAAATTACGTGCAGTTTTTTGGGTTTGCAGCTGTGATGAAGACTGACAGTGGATTTTGTGTCTGGGTTAAATATTCACTGTACGTCTTAAGTACTAACCCTTCTGGAACCCCACACCGTAACCTATGGCCCAACCTAAGCTCTGAGTTGCACCTCTCTAGAAAATATAACTATTTCGACTCAGCCCACAATGACTGTGATTGGTCAGTTCAGTAATTTTGTTTCCTCCTGTCCGTTTCCTTCATTTTTTTTTAAATTTAAATAGAAAATAACAGATCAAGTTAAAGAAAGCAATCCCTCTGCTAACTACACACAGGGTACGTCGCAGATGTAACGTAGAAGTAAAAATTAATGCCCATTGCATAACCTGGTATATTCCTGACAGCATTTTTGCTGGAATAAAACTTGTTTTGTTTAACTCAGCCTCATTGATAAATATTCTTTGAAATATAGTTTAATCTTAAAGGATGTCTGAATTTGTCCCCTTTGGAGCTTAATCCAGAGAGGAATCATCAGGACGCAACTGTGTTTTATGTGTGAAGGGTGAGTCATCATCCCGGATATAAAGACTTATAGCTGGCAAACATGTACTATTAATACATCAGAAGCGGGAATTACATTCAGTAGTACATGCATCTCACAGTCGGTGGAGTAATGAGGCAGAGAGATGAGAGGAGGCAAAAGGCTAAATCCAGAAAGCTGAAATAAAGAGGAAGTTAAATTTAGTGAGCGAACTTGAAATCCACTTCATCACCCGCTAGTTGAAACCAGAGGCCACTAAAAAATGTGATGTAGGATAGGCATCTCAGAGGAGGAAGAATGACAGAGGATGCTGAACGAGAAAGAGAAAGGCGTGTCCTGAGGAAAGGAGGAAACGAGAGAGGAGTCCACACATCAGTAGCGGCCAGCAACCCTGATCTTTAATGTGTCTGTAATTGGGTGGCAGACAGCAAATTACACAATGAAAAATGCCTGCTTGTCAAATCGCATAACCTGGCAAGTGCTGGTGCAAGATTACTGGCAGTAAATCTGGCCTATAGGCAATAAATCCTACGTATATGCTGTAAGTCAGGCACAAGCAGTAAAGCTAAAAACACTTAGACCAATGAAGCAAGAGCAGATCTGTCAGCCCATGATGACAAGGTGTTTTTCCTACAATGAACACCAGTTTACACTGCATACACCTCCGATTACATAGAGTACATGCATACCTGAGAAAAATAAAACCTCATACAGTTACATTCATTCTCCATACAGCTCTCTGTTTACCAGGATATCAGTTGAGCCTCGCCTGCCCTACTGGCTATAGTAATCAATAATGCAGCTATTTTTACACTTGGCTGCTTTATGCACAGTACAGCTGCTCTCTTGGCAGGGATGAAATGAATGAAAGTGTCGTGTTGTTTTTGATAGTCGAGGTCATGAGATGAACAGCTCTCTCTGTGGCAAACGAACATGCTTGTCTGTAAAGAAAACAAATCCCATTGCTCAAATAGGACTGAGCGATCAATACCAAAATGCTAACAAGAATATTTTCTTAATATCCACATGCATCTGTTATAATCCCTAAGCTAATTCTTGCTGATTATTAGTTATTTTCTGTTTGGTTTTCTCAGTTCTTTGATTATAGGTTACAAGTTTATTCCGGTTTATTTCATTTTTTCATCCTAATACTTTGGATGTTACCTGGTGAGTTTCAAGCTGAACCTTTGATAATATAATTTATTCTAGTATGGGTTTTGTATTTAAGATTTCTTCTGGATGGTTTTCATGTTTGATTTCTGTTTGGGCTGTAGGATCTGTAGCTTTTAGTTCTTTTTCCTTTTAGCTTCTCTTTGTATTAGAGTTTGTTATTTATAACCTCTCATATTTTGCTGGAAAAATGTAGACACTCCCTGTTGTACTTCTCTCCTGAACGCCTCTTTGAAACAGCATTTCTAATTTGGAGCCATAACTCCGTTGCCACTGGTTTTCAGCCCTGTTATTTTTTGATATATTTTGTAGATTCAACTAAAAAAAATGTATACATTATAAAAACATATAACATTATGTAAGATATACATTTTATGCCTGCTAGTAACAAAGTGCCTAAAAATACAATTTATAAGTGGTTCTTTGCTAAGTTGTCTGTTATGTGTAGACAAAACACTGGTTCATCCCCTTACTTATGTGCCTTTTTATGCTTGAACGATTCATAGGTCAGTGACATTGCTCTGAACACTGTGAGGAACCAGGACGACTGAAAATGAGTGAAAAACGCAGCCGATGCCCAAAGAAAACCTTTGAAAGACCTTTAGAAAGCCTGAAGAGTTATTGCTCAACACAACTGTACAAAATTAATGTGACATCATGAGTTCTCAGACCAAAGCCATCGTCAACCTCAGTCTTCATTTGGGTTTGTAAAGATTTGTGACTAAAATTGTTCCACAGAGACTGAAATATAAATACCTGCTAAATATGGGAAAAAGTACTACAGTAAGTGTCAAAAGAAAAGTGTTGAGCCACAAAGACACAAACAACAATAGCAGCCGTGCTGCCGCAGCTGGTAATATGAAACTAATTTCTCCGTCATCATAGTAACTGAATGTGGATAAATGATAATTGATAATAAATTACTTCCTGGCAGTGTTGGTGGAGTAACATGTAAGGGAGTTAATTAATTAAATAAAGAAATAAATGTAACTCTCATCAGTTCCATAGAATTTAAGTGCAAAATCCTCATGAGTAGGATGCCTGAAAGAGCTCAAGACCCAGACAGGCTGTTATGAATCATATTTAAAAAGAAGAATGTATATATGTGGTAAATGCTGTAAGTATTGCCTCTAACTCACCTCCTCCATTCTTTTGGCACAAGTAAGGGAAGCGCCACACGTTCCCCAGGCCCACAGAGAAGCCCACCTGGGCCAGGATGTACTGCAGTTTGCTGTTCCAGGCGGGTCGCCCATCGTTTTCAGGGACCTCTATCTGAGGGACTTTCTTCCCCGCCGCCCCTCCGACATTCAGGGAGCTGCTCTTGTAGTCGAGCGGCTCCTCGTGTGCGAGCAGGTCAGCCACCGACTCTGTGACGTGCTCATGGCTCTGCTCGCGCTGTGTCACCTTGCTGTTCTTAGGCATCAGGGAGGCTGAGGGTCAGGAGGGGGGTGGGGGTGGGGGCGAGTGGAGCGAGAAACAGAGAGCGAGAGACGGGAAGAAGTGACAGAGGCCAGATGTCAGGTGGGGATGAAAGGAAGAGCGATGCTGAAGAGCGATTGCTGGATTTCAGTTCTTGGCTTCAGTCCTGCATCAGAAAAACAAAACAGAGCGATAGTTGCACCCAAAATGGTGTTTGGACATCATAACATTTAATTTAGTAATGATGTTGTATTATTAAATGATAACAACGTTAAGCATCTACATTGTGAATGAAATAGTAGAAGGTTTCTGCCCTTAGTGAGTCTAATTTCCTGACTGTGATCGTTAAATAACACTTTGTACAGTAGCTGACACAAGTAAGACCCCATTTATTGCTTGGTTAACCTCCTAATAAGCCACTGGATTGTAACACATGGTTATATCTCTCCAGAGCCAATAAAGAATGGCACCATAAAGACAGGATCACAGACAATTTGTCACAAAGACAGCTGTAAGAATAAGATTTGGGGACAATTTTATTATGCTTCTGCATAAATGTGACCTAAAACATTACCAGAGGTTACTACAAGTCTTTAAGGGAGAAAATAAGAAACCAGCAGAACCAGTCACATTGATTTATTGCAGAATTTGATCCAATATTATACGTTTGTGATGAGGAGCAGTATTAGCAGTAAATTTGAATATAAAAGCAACAGGTGATGATGCTGAGATGTTAGTGGACTCTGACCAGCTTTTAAATATCAGACCTCTGATATAGTCTGAAAAGCACTAAAAGGAAGTGAATCGTGGCGTGAAGAAATGAGTCGTCTGAACACCCGAGGACCTGAGAAAAAAGATGACTGATGCTCATCAGGCTGGAGAGGGTTAAACAATCCTTTATAAAGAATTTAGACTCCACCAGTCGGGCATTTTATGAGGTCACACGTGATTCCAGGGTAACTTTTAAGTAACTAAATGTCACATTAGCTATTGGTCATGCCACCAGGAGAACAACAATACAGAGGAATGCAGGGCTGCAAAGACAACATCACTGCTGTCTGTTTACAGCCTTTAGGGCTGTGTGGTAAAGTCAGGAGACTTTGTGGATGCACAACACCAAAAACCATTTGGTTCATATGAAAAGAAAAACAAGAACCTTATCCCATCTGTAAAACACGATCTTGTTGTGTCAAGATTTAGGCCTTTCTGCATTTGGGCCAGCACTCATGAAGTCTGAGTTATGGTAGCAAATTCTAAAAGAAAAAAAATGTCAAGACATCTGAAACTGAAAAATTGAGTCATGATAGCAATAGATGGTTTATATTTTTAAATTACCAACACAAAGTATTGTGAAAAGGCCAGAAGAGGGGCGCTCATGTGAGGAAACTCACAGAGATGTTGGAGTGCAATGTGCTCTGAGCTTTGGGGTGCACTTCTCCACGCCCCTCACCGCAGCTCTTTGTATCTCATGCAATGTTTTCGGGTCCCATAAATTCCCAATCCTGCAAATTGTTCTATTTAATTTCCCTGTTCTGAAAAGCTTAACTTTAGTGAAGCTTTTTTCATGTAAATCCTTTAATCCTCTGGAGCCTTGCGCCAACACCCATCCCCACCCCTCTTTGAGGGAGTGGTTGGTTCAACCCAAATGTAATAGAGGAAGTAAACACGATGCTTTGGATGAAGTGCCCTCATACGTTCTCCTTATCCACATCACAGGCCTGCATAGGCTCATTACTTATTGAGTGGGCTCTTTTCTCCATCATGTTGTCCAACTGAGATGCAAAAACTGCAAAATATGAGGTCTGAAGTGAAAAAGAAAAGAAAAAGAAAGTAACTAGAAAAATAATCCTCTGTGATTGTGAGCTCATATTTCCAGTTCCACACTTGAGCTGAATGAAGGTGCTGTACCTTTCACGTGATGCTACAGCAGTGATGCGCCTGAGATCTCATCGTCACTGCTTACATCAGCCTGAAACAAGCTTCCTCCGTATCAGCCGATTCAGCAGACCTTAAATGCTCCACAAACCCTCTTAGAGCTTCTACCGACAACAACAAACCTACATATTCTTGATGCGCTTTTACTGTCCTAAAGAAACCCCCCCCACAAAAAACCAAAACATCCCTAAAACAGATTTCCTCCTCTGTGCACAACAAGATGATCCCATGATGTAATAATCCAAGCACAGCCATTCACAAGTCTTCATAATCCTGTGTGCATTAACTGTAAAAACCACCCGAGTGCTGCTTTTCTGTCTTGTCATTCAATCCCACGCTACAGTAGATACGTAATATCAATCAGCGACTGCATTATGGGGCCAACACTGGAAAAATAAAAACAGCAAACATCAACTGACCCATCCAATAATCCTCTGGAGAAAAAAAATCAGCACACAGTTCAGATGACCCCAGCTAATGCTAAGACCGAGTCTGTGTGGAGCAATTTCATACTACAGAAAAAGGTTGGAAGAAACCTTTGGGTATGGCTCGCTTTATCTGAGGTCATTCATTGTGCTGTCCTTCAGAGACTCTCATCGCACAGTTACAACCTGGCCTGGCTTTAGATATACAAGCTGCATCATCAGTCTAGTAAAAACACATGATTTGGATTTCTGTTTCTTGCCAACAGTCTGTGGCTAAAAAGAGATCCGAATACCAGCATATATGAAAAGCAGCATGTCAAAGACTGAGAGGCTTGAGCCTTCCAATACAAACAGACCACGGTGTGTTAAAAGTTATATTCATTTGCAGATAAGGCTGAAGGACCTCACCTATTAGCTAGAAGAAGGTGGTTATTAGTGATACATGTACACAGTCATACACAGGTGCTGTTACTTATTGACAGTGTCACACACGATGCAAAATGCAGTTTGATTATAAAGAGGCAACCCTGTATACATCAGCTTCTGCAATCAGTCTCAATTAGATGTCCAGACTTCATTGATCAGCTGATCCTGCGATTATCATCGAGCTCTACAAGTCTGAGCCACAGTTAAAGGTTAATCAGCTGTTTCACAAAGTAAAAAGTGTTAAAAGTCTGAAGCACGCATGTCTTTAATGGCCAATTGGCAGCATTAGACCTCAGAGGCTGGGACTGTGTGAATTGAAAGCATGCGGAAACCAGCTGCAGGTTGTGAAAATCTCCATCATCAACACTACGACACAGATCACTCTCTGGGAGCACCAGGTGACACATCTGGTGATGACAGCGATACCTCTGCCTCTGTTTTCACTGCTTGTCCTGAGCAGAACCAAGGTCACTCCAGAGCCCAGACCTGCGTGCGTTGCGGAGCACATTTGAATCTTGATGCAGTTTTGTTCGCAACATAACACAACTTCTCTTTAAAGTTGGCAAGCATCTCAGGTATGACACAGAACAATTAAAACTACTTTTAAGCAGAAAGAAATGTTGAATGAAGCAATGGCAGGAAAAGAGTTTCTCACCGTGAGTCTTGTGTAGCAGTAAAATCCGGGCTTAAGCGATCGCAGTTCTCAGAGAATATCTGGAGAGAGGCATGAATACATCCACCACGAGCATGTGTATGTGTATGTGTGTGTGTGTGAGCGGCTGTGGTACTGACTGAGCGCTCACAGGACAGTGCAGGACGGAGCATCACGTGCTGCACTGCCAACAATTGACGTACTGGGTGGAGAGCGCACCGTGACGCACGAAGTGGCTCTTATTATCAACAGTGGCAAATTAACACGCCCCACTCTTTCACTTGTTTGAGATCCATCACGGCATCTCTGCGCCGGAAGAAGGACGCCGAGTGAATGAAGGGGGCTACAACCGTGCGCGGATTTGTCAAGGTTATCCACTCCTACCTGAGGAAACGACCGTCTGACGCAGTTTTCGTCATTCGCTTTTCAGTTGATGGAAATTTGAAGCCGTTCAGCCATGACCGGTCGTCACACTGAAAAAGAGTGCTTAGGTTTTTAAGGTAGAGCTCAATGAGCCTGGTTTCTGGTGACAGTATTATGATGAAATGAGCAAAATGTTGAAATGTGCGTTTTATAGCGGAGAAGAGTCAGTGTTGATATTAAAGGAAATGTTTATTTTAAGAAAAGTATATCTCATAACAATAATCACACGCAGATCAGGGCAACAAAACAAAGAAAACAACCAAATAAAGCTCAAATTAACGTGGTGTCTAACAATGTTTTGCATTTTTATTAAAGGTCATGCACAAAAAACAGGAATATTATGAACCTGATATAAACAGTGAAGGACAGGTTTCCAAGATTCAGGTCAGGGTCAGGTTTGCAGACCCCTTCATCCACACTGACCTGGCTCTCAACCAGACTCACCTCATCACCTCCTTTGCTTTCTTAACGCTTCTCATGCATAAACACTTGCTGGTCACAGGCTTATTCTGACATTTTCCTTGGGAGGACAGCCACCCCTCAGACTGCTCATAGTTACCTATTAACCATGAAATTTTTTTTTAGCTCTACACAAATGAAATTGCTTGATAAAAGGATTTTTGGGAGCCAGTATATGAGCAGAAAAAAAGCATAAAGCAGATAATCTTACTGTTTTCAAAGACACAGGAAAAGGAAACATGAGAAGTTTTAAATTACTCAGCAATAAATAAGCATGAATAAATCAACAGTAATCAATAATTGAAATGCCTGGAGCCTCTGCGTGACTCTGGGCTGATGCGTTTGTTCCTGTTAGACATGTACCTCAGGCTGAGGCGATGAGGTGTTATTGTTGCCTTCTTGTCCAGAAAGGAATGTAAAAGTCAGTAAAACCCAGTTTAGGAACATAAAAATACCCAGTTACTATTCACACAGAGATTATTTTTAATATTTCCCAACATGGACTCCACTGCAGTAATCTCAGACTAGTAGCTTTATCTCTGTGATGAAACTGTAAGTCATGAGGTGGGTGGTCATTTCTCTATTGAGACATGGACGTGCGACACGGCTGCAGCAGACCGAGTCACCCAGGGGACCATAAATCATGCACCATCCAGCAGAATATTCTTTATTACCACCGAGATAGGGGGAGAAGATAGTATTGAGAGGCCATTTTTCATGCTGAGTTTATGGATTTATTTTGCTCCCACATGTCCGCTTCCTGTGCTTTAACTTTGACGTGTCTGCATCATTATCAGATTCTTTTTAAATGGAAGGATTATTATTAATGATTAGAATCATTAATAATAAGACATTATTCGATTATTATTATTCTATTTTGATTGAACATAGGAAACGAGTGTAATTACCTGCCTTTAAACTCTGTCGGAGGCCAGAATCCTGTTTAACAGTTTTAATTGACACACACAAAAAAGTCGAACATGACCTTTGTAGTGTAAGAGAAGCAGGTTTATTCTTGTGCGGCAGACTTGGTTAAGGCGGAATCAAAAAAGACAAGCTCGCTCTCACACATTTCTCCTTTTTTTCTCACTTGACGATGCTCTTGACACACCTTCATCTGACTACTGGGAGCAGTTGCCACAGCAACCCCAGGATCATATGACAGACAAGCCTCATCTCTGCCATCTCTTTCCTGCATCCCTTCACCCCCATACTTTGCTTTCTCCAGTTTGCAAACCAGTGGCATCCCGTAAGAAGGAGAGGAATGAACCTCTAATCTGTGTTAAATCAAAACCGTAAATCATGAAAGTGGCTGTACCCGCTTTAGCTTCTAGAACATTTTCCTCACCTGGTCTTGTGGAAGATAATAGGAACCCTATGATGACTTACAAGGCATAGGGCATTAACTATAAAATAAATGTTTGATGCTCAGCTGCCCTTGACCAAAGCTACGCAGCTTCAGTTTCTGCTGCAGGCCATCTGCTAACTGGACAGCAGGGTTCCACTCAGCATTACGAATGGTCTTTAGGGGTTGAGGGTTATTAAGCCTGCATCAGCAGCCTTGCAGACCTGTGGGACTATTGTCACAGTGCTGCTGCTGCCATCTTTTGTTAGCAAATGAACCAACTGTCCTATGTAGATTCAGCATTGTTCTTGCTTTATATGCACCATATCCTGATACTGTCATGATCCAGGACTTTTGATCAGCCTGGAGTTCAAGATTCCAGTTCACGTCCAGGTGCTTTGGTTGCTTTCTGATTTTGTATTTCTTAGCTGTGTTTATTGTACAGGTGCACTCAGTTTGCTCAGCCTTTTAGTCTTGGTTGTGTTTTAGTGCTAAAGTTCATGCATGTTTCTATCTTGTGTTTAGGTTGACTTCCTTCCTTGTCTGATTGTGTTTATTCTCTAAACCTGTGTCTAAATTTAGTTTGGCCTACATGTTCCCACTTCCCACGATGAGTCGTCTGAGTACAAATAGTTTTGTGTTGTTTTGTCTTTTATTGTTTCATTTATTGTACTTCTCATTTAGCCAAGAGCTTGGCACTGCACAAAAGTCTTTAGTTACCACTTATATACTTACATTTTGCTTGTAAGGAGCCAGTTTTTTGGCTGCTTTTTCACTAATTTTCAATCCAGTCCTTGTACCTGATCATTTTCAGAGGAATAGTTTTTGCTTGTTAAATCACTTAACTCTGACCTATGAATCATTCAAGCATAAAGAAAAGGCCCCTAACTCAAGGAATAAACCAGTGTTATGTGTCAGTACAGGTAGGGCACTTTGCTACCCCACCTGTCACAGAAACACATCATTCGTTTCATTTCTTTACCTAACAAATTCTAAAGATAACACTGTTTGACAGGCATTAAATAGTATTTGTGCTCCAGCAAGGTGATTCCAAACAAGCAATTAGCTGAAAAAATCAAAACATTTCACTGTGGTGTAGGTGTTACAAACACAGTTTATTTCCAGTCTTATATTCCTCTTTGTCTTAGCCACTGGACCCTTTTATGAGCTATCAGCGATTGTTCTCACTGTCCTTCCTTTCGCCTTAAAAAACCTCTGTTTAAAACCTTTTCCTCAAACAACATATCTCCTGTTTGTTTTGGGTTTTTTTTGTTGTTTCTCTTGACCGTTGGTGCCTGACGTCAGCACCCTTTCGCAACACATCTCTGCTCCTTTCTGCTGTTCACCTTCAGTCGTCTCCAACTCCACGTCATCTCCCTGCTGTTTCGCAGCATTCATTGCTGCTCCCCAACACCCACTCACATGTGCTCAGGCATTATGCATCTGCAACACCACATCCGCCCAGTACTTTTCCCTTACTCTAGTCTCATTTATATTCCCCCTGTCCCATCCCTTTCTTTCTCCCCCCTCCCTCCCTGCTGTTTCTTCCTTCGTGGTTTGCGCTGTCTGGGTCACTCTGAGCTGCTAAAAAAAGCTTCACCCTGCACTGGGCTCTGTGGTCTCGTTTACACAGCCCATTATTCTCAGTACAAGCGCTTGAATAAACATGCTTACACGATCACTGACATTTCTACTGTAGGCGAGTGAGTATGGACACATTTGAAAGGTGTGAAAAGGCTTGTCAAAGTAACTGATTGTCCACATGTTTGACATTTCACTAATTCTGCTGGATTATTTTCGGGCAAAAAACAAGACACAAGTCGTCTATTAACACAATCAAACAAAGACTGTTTTCGTGCAAGTCATAATTCAGGTGTATCTTTAACACAGCAAATGCACATGACTCGTACTATTAGCTCTTACATTATTCTGTGTTGAGGCAGCATTAACTGCTGCCTGTGCATGAGTGCGTGGGGATATGCTGGTGTCATGCAGGTGTTCACAGGACACAGGAGAAAGTGGGTCATGCTTAGCTCTGACAGACTTAGTGCAGCGCTCACTCCAAGATATTTTTTCCAAAAAATTATTTACACATATTTTACTCAAAATCTGCTGTGTGAGAAGGTTTTCACTAATTAATATTAATCAGACATAATGATAGGTCTCATTAGGGGACTGTGATTTCAGTGACATCAGTGGGATTCATTTTCAGGATTGAGTTTCTATTGAAGATTGGAAATTCATCATGACTCCATCCATGCTGGCTCAGGTTACACAGGTGAGAGGCCGGCTGTCCTTTGGTTGGCGGATGCCGAAAAAGCACAGGCAGATCTGTTACCAAGCATCTGTTTCAGATAAAAGCTGTGGAGCGGTGGATCAGGTCGCGATGTTCACCTAAAAGCAACACACAAAAATAGAAACTCATTAAAAGCTGTTTTTTCCCCTCTGCTAATCCAGATTTACCCTTTGACAGCTCATTAACAAAAACCTTGGTACGCAGTTCTGTTTTCAGGGGTTATTAACAGATGAACCTCGTATCTGTTTCCCTGTGGTCGAGGTTTAATATTTCTGTGAATTTGTAGCAGCAGCTTTGGGAAATTTGACCTAAAATGATTTAATTTGGCAAACACTTTATATAACACTTACTGACAACACTGCTGTTTGCAGCTGCTTCTTTTGTGGTATGAACATGTTCATGCTACAACAAAATCTCTTTTAACCCATTGCCACTGTTTATATGTCATTTATTTGCTCTACTTCAATGATTAGAGGCACCACACTTCTCCACTCATGCTGTTTTTGTAGACACACTTAAACCAATTTTAATACTGAACAGCAGATTGCCTTGCTGGACCTGTGAGGGGACATGTGACTCTCCGTGGAAGAACCTCACCAGATGGCCTCTCAAACAGGGGCCTATCCAGCTCACAGGGTTGAGGACAAAGCTCCTGTCCCCATTTTTTGGACAACATAATCCTTTTAAAATACCCCTGCTGCAAAGCACACTTAACAAAAAAAAAAAAAAAAGTATTGTTGGTGCAACACAGTTGGTGCTGCAAATAATCAGGTCAAACTCACTGTGAAACCCCCCCCCCCCAAATATACAGGTTTAAATGTAGCAAAAAGACATGATTTTGTGTCATTTGAACATTATGACCTAAAATGAGGATTTGTTTATTTGGAGATGGAGAGCAAACAGTTAATGATATTGATGTAACTGTAGCTAGGCATGGATTTATATTTGAATGAGCATGAAGAAAGTGGATGGAGATGCTTTGAAACTGGAAGCTTTTCTGTTCATAATAACTGCACAACCATTTCCCGCCCTGCTGTCATTATGCCTGTAATCCTACACGTGGGAGTGCCCTACATACGTGCCTCAGGGTTTTATCTCTCTGTGTTATCAATGTTAACAATGAATCCCACATAATAGGAATAATGTGGAAGATGGTGATCTCATTTTTAATAGGAGCTACAATCATGTGACCAAAACGTTTCACAGGACTCTTTGCAGTCCAGTGAAACTGAGCACATCCTGACTGCATCCACATGAATGAAGAGTGTAAGTAGCAGCTAGGTGCTGCTAAATGCATTTGATGAATTGATCATCAGCAAGTGGGAACATCAATCGACAGTGAGAAAGATTAATCATAAGTGGAAAACATCTTCCCAGGAAGAGAGTAATATAGAGCTACTACAGTAACAATTAAATTAAAAATAGAAATGTAATATCATCCTGAGAACTGAAGGAAAAAAGTATCTTTCAGTTTATTTTTTTGTGATTTCCTGTCTAGTTGGAGCTAAAAGAAGCCACCGAAATGCATGAGAAATCACTGGAAAGACCTGGATTTCCTGGATTTGGTGCGTTAGCTCAAATGGACCTAAAAAGTCCATTACAGAGGACATAAATGAACAGGCTGGGTTTCAGGAGGATATAATGGTTTTATATTTTGCTTGGAGTAGTATAGAAGAGTAACTAGACATGAAAATGTTTCCAGCTGAGCTGTTTCTACCACTGATACCCAAAGGTTTCTGCTATAGAGAGTCTGTTCTTTGATTTCCTGTTTCACTGAAGATGTTAAAAGAAGCTTCTCTGCCCTCTGGTGGTGTTTCTGTGTTCAGCATGCAGCGGGCCAGCAAGTCACAGACGGACGGACATAAACGGATTTTAACCTCTGTTCACTTCTTAAAGCACAGTTTGCACTTCTAATGGCGAATAAATTGTGCTTACAATAACTAGCAGACTGAGCAGTCTAAGAAATTGCCACAGACCGTGACATTTAACACGAGCAATCTGAAGGAAGGAGGATACTGAAAATATCTGATTATCATGATTCACTCGGTTTAACAGATCAGGTTCTTGATTGGTAATCATCAAACCTAAAGGCCAGAAATGAAAGTGTGATTACGGTTTAGAAAATCTGACTATTCAAACCTTACAGATTATCCTGGAAGTTATCTCTCAGTTAAGGCGTGCACTTCAATCTAAAAACTGTCTCCTCAGCTCATCACATTTCTACAACTCTGTTCTTCGAAGAGGAATAGCAATGACCAGCTGCACCTACCGGGCTATTTCAGACACAGCACCGCAGGATGCAAATTACTTGTTTGATCCTAGCTCTACGTATTATGGCAGTCAGCTCCCCCCCCCCCCCCCCGCCACTGTTTTCCTGTCTGGTATTATCACAAAATCAGTGTCCTTACTTCAAGGGCACCTGGAGCCTTCCTGTGCAGACATTACGCCACTTTTAAACTAAATCTTCAAAATGTAAAAAAATATATTAGATTTTTTATTTCATATTTCAATAAGAAAATGAAAGTTATAGTAATCTAAAAGCCAAGTGTTCTCTTGCTTTGGGCCTCTTCTGTTTATGCAGTGCTTCAACCATAATCCCACAACCCGTTTTAAAATAAGCTTCTGCCTGCAGGACTGTACTTTGACCTCAGCAGCACAGCCGCACCCTCTTTTATAATAGGTGAGCTGGTTTCCTTTTTTATGGATTGACAAGCTACGGCGCCAATCGGCTTGTTTTACAGGGAGGTAGGCGGGACTTCCTGTACAGTAGTGCAAGTAATCCAACATGGCGCTTACGTTGCTCGCCTGAGAGTGCAGTGGGAAGCGCTTTAAGTTCAGCTCGATTTCAGTAGTAGAGTTCATTAAAGCGGATCAGACTTTTAGAAATGAAGGGGAAAGAGCGATCGCCGATGAAGAAGCGCTCCCGGGCGCTGGATGATAGCAGAGACCGAGGAGAAAGCCACCCGAGCAGCAAGAAGAGCGGAGCCCTGTCGGCGGTTAGCGGCAACACGGGTAACGGCTCTGCTTACAGCGGCTCTTCATCCAGGAGGAGCTTACACAGCGACAAAAGAGACCTGAGGGATTCGGACGGACACAGCACATCCAGTCGGACTAGCAGCGGCTACGACTACGGAGTTGTTTCCGGGAACAAGCCGCACGGTGGCGCTGACCTCGCCTCGGAATCCTCCAGGCCGGGTTCACGCAGCGACCCGAGGCCTCCGTCATACCCAGGAAGTGAGTACAAGACTTTGAAAATCAGCGAGCTGGGCTCCCAGCTCAACGACGAGGAAATAGAGGACGGCCTGTTCCACGAGTTCAGGAAGTTTGGGGACGTGAGCGTTAAAATGACCCGAGAAAACGACGAGAGGGTCGCGTTTGTGAACTTCAGGCGACCCGATGACGCCCGGGCTGCCAAACACGCCCGCGGGAAGCTGGTGCTGTACGATCGGCCGCTGAAAATAGAGACAGTCTACATGAGCAGACGGAGGAGCCGCTCCCCCGTTGCTAAAGACGGCTTCCCCGCGGGACACAGACCCCTACACGCTCAGAAAGCTGTGTCTCCCACAGGCATGGGATTCAGAGACTACCGGCTACAGCAGCTGGCTCTGGGTCGTCTGCCCCCTCCCCCTCTGCCGCCTCCTCACCTCAGAGACGTGGACAGAGACAGAGATTTTCCCGTGTATGAAGGCAGAAACAGACCGCCTTACATTCCCGAGTGTTTCCGCGATGAGGACACGTTGAGCCCCGAGGACGACCAGAGGGCAAACAGGACTTTGTTTTTGGGCAATTTGGATGTGACTGTGACGGAGAGTGACCTGAGAAGGGCGTTTGACAGGTTTGGAGTGATTACAGAGGTGGACATTAAGCGCACAGTGAGAGGCCAGAGCAACACCTATGGATTCATCAAGTTTGAGAACCTTGACATGGCTCATCGGGCCAAAGTGGCCATGGCTGGGAAAATCCTGGGCCACAGCCCGATTAAAATAGGATATGGGAAACCTACGCCCTCGACCAGGCTGTGGGTGGGGGGGCTCGGGCCTTGGGTTCCACTTGCTGCACTTGCCAAAGAGTTTGACCGCTTCGGGACCATCAGGACTATAGACTACAGGAAAGGTGATGCGTGGGCTTATATCCAGTATGAGAGCCTGGATGCTGCTCAGGCTGGGTATACTCACATGCGTGGCTTCCCTCTCGGTGGCGCCGACAGGAGACTTAGAGTGGACTTTGCAGAAGCAGAGACTCGCTACCAGCAGCAGCAGTATACGCAGCTTCCTCTCCCCCTGCCACACTATGAATTAGCCACCGAGCCATATTCACACCGCCTTTCTGATCCAGTGAGAGCGAGAGAGCGGTCCCCTCCACTTCCTGCTCGCTTCAGAGACCGGGATCTCTACCCTGCTGAATGGTCTGGCCTCGGTGCACACGAGAGGATGCGAGGTTTTGACCCGGCAGACCGTCTGGACAGGCGCTCCCATGAGAGCTGGTCACTAGAACGGGAGCGGGAGTTGCAAAGCAGAGATTTGTCCCGCACAAAGAGACCTTTAGATGACGGTTGGCGGCGGGAGCACTCTCCTGACGGCAGTAACTTTGGTCTGCGGCGTCATGGCAGCTCTTTGGACCGCAGCCCGGGAGGGAGCAGCCGAGATGGGGGGCGCTACAGTGACCCCGAACGCTTGCCTCGCTCTGGCAGACCCTCCCCAGTCAAAGACAGGAAGAACAGCCTGGACGCTGGGTTTGTGGACAAAAAAAGGAGAACACGCAGCCCATCAGAGCCACGCTCTGGCTCCGAGAAGGGGCGCAAACACAAAGTCAGTGACTCCTCCAAGAGCCCAGCGAAGAAAGAGGACCGCTCAGAACATCTTTCCTCCTCTACAAACTCCTCCAAACCTGGTCAGCAGCCTGACCCAGATGCTGAAAAACAGAAGCTGAGTCAGGTCTGGCAGGGCGTCCTCCTGCTGAAGAATAGCAGCTTCCCCACCTCACTGCACCTGCTGGAAGGAGACATGAAGGTGGCTGCCAGTCTGCTGGTGGACGGCTCTAAAGGGGGCCAAGTTTCCCAACTGAAGATCAGCCAGCGCCTGCGCCTGGACCAGCCGAAGTTGGACGAGGTCTCCCGTCGCATCAAGGCCGCCGGCTCCAGCGGACACGCCATCCTCCTCGCTTTGCCTTGGAAATCCGACGACAGCGGTGCCCAGGACGCCGCCAACTCTACCGAGAGACCCCTGAAGAACCTGGTGTCCTACCTGAAGCAGAAAGAGGCGGCAGGTATCATCAGCCTCCCTGCTGGGGGCGGCCGTGACAAGGACCACGGAGGAGTACTACACGCTTTTCCCCCATGTGAGTTTTCCCAGCAGTTCTTGGATGCCTCTGCCAAAGCCTTTGCCAAATCAGAGGATGACTACTTGGTAATGGTTATTATCAGAGGAGCATCATGAAAAAAAACAACAACAACATGTGTCATGTCACACTCAAAAAACTGTTAAACTGTGAGATGTAAACATAGGGAGAAGAAGTGGTATTAAAGCAGTGCAGGAGACAAACAGCAGGATGCAGATTTTAAGCTCTCTAACCTGCTTCTATTTCATCCTGGTGAAAGTTTATAAAATTAAAGTCAAACTGAATTAAGTACATTTTTATAAGTTGATGAATTTGATTGTTAAATCAGGTGAAATGTTGCCTTTACTATTTAGATATTTAGATTAAATGCACATTACCTGAAGGTACTATCCTAAGGTGAGTCCAGAGTGAACTACAGGTCTGTGAATCAGTACTGTGTGTGTTGCCTTATCGTTTAAAAAGAACAGGTCCTTTATGTGCTTTTCACACAACTCCTGCCTACAACAATGAGCTGAAGATCCAGAAGAGAGCATTTAGCCTCATTTTTGGTAATTGAAATCAAACTCATGTACACTGTGTTTTTTTTTTTGTTTTTTTTTCTTTTCTTCTCTTGATTAAGGAAGTCCATTTGCTTTAAATCATTATCCGTTGGCCAGTAATTGACCTACACCAGATGTTCGTATGTATGTGGTTTTCTTTTTTTTGTGACCAAGTAAAAATTTTTTTGAAGACTTCCAAATTCCAACTTTCAGTAAATGATCTTTAAGATGTCAAATTATAGCAGAAAGAGCAGTTAAACATACCAAATCACTCCATCACTCCTTCTGGATATTCATGTGTAAAGTTCAGGTACACGAGAGCATCAGGAGTTTCAAGTATAATTACATTACCAGTGCTTTTGTGTGTGTATGTGTAGTTGCGCGTGTGTGTGTGCCATGTTTCATGAGTCATGTTACTTTATGACTAAGTGGAGGTTTGTCATCGGTGCTTTCACAATTTTCACCAAGCACTTGTACCAGCAGCAGCTGTTTGTGAGGGGATGGACACAAGCAGCAAGCTCTGCGAGCTTTCATTTCTCAAAGGCGTATCAGGATCCAACTACTGATTGATCTTTAAATTATTATTATCATTCATCTGAAATTGTGAAAAATGCTCCCCGATTGACCAAAAGTCCAAAACCCGAGGACTAGATTTTTTTCGTGTGTGTGTGTGTTTGAAATTTTTTGCTTATCGTTATCTTTTAATATTTTAGTAACGAGCTAAATCTACTCCGCCGCAATCTCAATGCAAATTTTACACGGCTAGTCTGTGTTGTCGGGCTCTTATTTTGCAGTATGGGGTTGCTTTTTGTGTCCTTCCCTTCTCCGTTGTGTGGTTTGTTTGGTTTTTTTTTTGTTCTTTTTTAAATTATCCAAAGTTTGGTTGAGCATTTATTGTTTGATCAGATACCTCACTCAGTTTGTCATGTTTTAACTCACTGATTACAATTACTACCCTAAGAAAGCATATTGTTTTTTGTTTTTTTTAAAAGAAAAAAAGAATGATGTAACCTCCAACTGAAGAGCTGTGTGCCATGCACAGGTCTTTTTTTTTTTTTTGCCTGATTGTGAGTTTCCAAAAAAGAAAATGTTGCAGTACGATCAGAGGACTTTGGTGTACGTTTCACACACGAGGAACGGAGGCCATGTTCAACTGGCCATACTTGCCGCCTTCAAAAAGGGACTCATAATGATTGTTTTTCATGCTTTGATTTGAGTACTGTGTTTCAAATGGATAAAGAATGATTTGTGCTGTATACTCAGGATATCTGAAGAGAGAGAGAAATGGAGATCATCAATGCTCATGGGCCTAAGAAGTATACCTAAGAAGTATACCTGTCAGCAAAAACACGCAAAGTGCAACATGCACTTCATACATCTTGTCTTAATAAATTTACTCTTTCGTGGGAAACACGAGTGCCTCGGAAGACAACTTTTGTGACCTTTTTCTGTTCTTGGAATTTTCTGTGAAAGTCTTTAAAAAAAAAAAAAGAAAAGGGGAAAAAAAGGCTTTCACTTTGACAGCAGGAGGCTTCCCGGCAGACGTGAGAGGAAGTGTGAGAATCGAGGGAAAGCCTCTCAGTTCTGTGTTTTCGTGATGCTCGACATGTGTTCGGTGGCCTCTCTCGTGAAGAGCTTTTCCATATGACCTTCATTCAGATTGAAATTTGGCGGTGCTAGAATACTTTGTGCAGCCTGTTTGGGAAAGGCAAATGTAGAGTCCCTGTGCCTCCTCAGACCTGTGGCTTATTCCTCGGTCGCCTTTGTGCGTGCGGAGGTGTGACACAGAACCTGCTCATCTGAGAGCTGTTTCTCAACTCGTCTCTCAGCAGGAGCTTTTTCTTCCTCCTCTCATCTGGTTCCAGCAGCGCACTGGTGCACAGTGTGTTCAGCGTCTGCAGCAGGAGCAGTGTTTGTGTAGTTGCTTATTGTTCTTGCATTGGAGTTTTAAAGAAGAAGATCTCTGTGCTAGGGCCAGACCTGCTGCCTCAGCCTGTCGGAGAGGAGGTCGAGGCGGGGAAACAGCGTCTGCCAAATATCGGAAAGGAAGCGCAGTGGAGACGAGAGATCGCCCCGGTTGAGGCCTGAGCAGGGAATCCTAATCTTTTAGTTGGTTTGTTGATCTGATGATTTATGCACTTTTAAAAAGATTGTGTGGCAAACTGCATATGAAAGCACAGAGACCAGAGGATGACTCCCATCGTAGTTTCCTGGTTGTTCTTCAAACAAAGGGGACGGCTACCCTTCAGCTCCAGGTATCCGCACGGTGCTCCGGCTCAAGGTGTCCCCTGGACGGGGTGGCGTGAAGCGTAACAGCTTTACGCCTCCTGGCTGCTCCCACCCCTCAGGTAACGTATACTGATGGCCACAACGACACGAGCGGGTACGTATTGTAATGTCAGAGAGCACCACAGGCACACTGTTGCTTAAGTAAAAACTGGTAAGTGGAGGGGTGAGGAAAAAAATAGCAAAAAAAATTAGTTAACATGCAGTAAAATTAAAATAATTCTGATTTTCTTAAAAGCATAAAAGCCAGAGATTTGTGTTGAGCTAACATTGTCACAGTTTCTGTCAGTGACAGTCGGTGAAAGTTTCTTTCCTGTTGTCTCACCAAATTGTGGTTTTACATCCCATAAACTGCTGTAACCTAGCAAAAGATTTAATTTCATTTTAAAAGGTACTTAAAATTAAGTTCTGCCCCTTTGAGAGCATTAACATGTGAGTAAAGTTTAATCTCAGTGAGACGGTGCTGTAGTTTCCTTTAATTGGTATTACAGTAAAAAATGAAATTTGATTTTTCAAAGTAAGTCAAATATATGTGCAGGAGTAAAACTCATAGATGTAAAATAAATAAATAAAATAATAGAGTGGGAACAGCCAAGAAAATGGAAATGGTTCAGGTGCACTAAAGAACGATGTTTCAGGCCTGAGAGTCTCTGAGTGACTGACCTGATCGCTGCAAACACAGGACAATGTAATGCAGGCAAGATTATTATAGTTCACTAAAAACTAAAATAGGTATAAAAAATTGACTTTTGAAAAAGAAACAATTTTGTGAACTTTGAAAACTAAAATTAAAAAAAAGTTTTCGAATTTGGTAAAAATTGTTAGCACAACCTGCCTGATGAGGCTTTGGAAGCCTACAAGACTGTGAGTCGACTGCTTTCAAAAGTTCAGTGTTTATATTGTAGCATCGACACTGATTATCCAAAATCTTGTCTCTGGTGAATGCTCTAAAATGAACAAACGTACTCCGGAAACTAAAGTTAAAGTAAAATAAAAATAGAAGGTAAAGAAAATCCAAAACTGTAATAACTGAATATATGTATGTGTAATACAAATACACGGTAAACTAAACTAAACATCACAAAAATGGGGAAAAGTAGATCTCAAGACCATTATAATTTGTAAGTGCTCTTACCTGCTCTGAGAGAAAGATGTCAATGTTAGAGGCCTGCGGCTGATCCACATAATGATAGTATTGATACCAGTGATGGTATCGGATGGATACTGGAATACTAGGATCAGTACTTTGTTTTCCATCATCCAAGTTCAGAATGTACCCACTGAACTTTACTAAATATTTGTTCTGAAAATGAAAAACTATAACTCAGACATACACTAGAAAAATTTCTTAAACATTTTCCAGTTTTAAAATACATGAAAAGCTGAAATGTGTCTTAAATTTGTATTATTAACTAATTATTGTGGAAAGTAAAAATCACAGTGATTTGTTGGTCAGTAAAATTTATTCAGATTTTGCAAATTGATGATGATTCATCTCATAAATCATTGCACATTGCTCTGCTCTACATAAGCTGCCTTTATAAGATAAACGTATTGGTATTATCAATGCTGTGCTTGTACTAAACTTGCAGTATTGCCCAGTGAAAATAGTGCTGTGTGTCATGGATATAGATGCCCTGCAGTGCAATCAGTCATCAGCAGGTGCTGTCAGTCACAACAACCTCAGTCTTTCATCGTTATGATGGCAGTCTGTTTAGTTTACTGTATTCTGCGCTGCTCGCCGCGGTGCATGAGGCGTGCAAATTTTGTTTTACAGCTTCAGGTTTAGTCGGTGCAAAGGTTCATGCTAACGCGATTGCTTGCTAAATCAGAGGAGGTGCAGGCGCTTGGATTTCTGCAGGGATAAAGG